ACCTTCTTTGAGCAGAATACTGTTTTTAAGCTCTGTGAATAATATAAAGAAAAATTTCTCCCTGTCTTCAGAAGAGAGATAGATACATTCATTCACTCCAAATATTGTGAGATACCATATATGCTGGGCATGTACTAATAATTTACACCCCTAGGATATGGTATATCATGAATTCTATAACAAAGATTCAAACTGTTTTTAGATACTATTGGAAAGGAGAGATAAATTTGGATTAGGAATAGCAAGTTATCGCTCTATTCAGGACATAGTATTTGAAATTGGCCAAGAAAGATTGATTGAACTTTGACAAGTGGAAAATGAGAGGGAGAAGGACATTCTTGGTAGAAGGGACTCTGTGTGCATGTACAGTCTTAGTTACAATGAGACTCAAAATATACATTTATTTTTGTTATGCTTATTGTGTCCTGAACTACAGAATACTTTTATTCCATGAACCATAAAAGAACAACAATGTGATGTAATTATCTGAAGGATACCCAGACCATTCAGCCTTTTGAATAGCATATAATCATATGAGAAAGGGTAATTACTTTATATGCAATTGGTTGGGCTGGAGTTAGCTTAGGTGGTGAGCGTGGAAGGCAGATAGTGGGTAGTGGTGTGACTACCTTACAGTTCTGTAAGTTGGAAGTCCAGCATGGATCTCAATAGGCTAAAATAAAGGTGTCAGCAGGTCCAGGTTCCTTTTTGGAGGCTCTCGGGAAGAATCATTTCCTTGTTCATTTAGGTTGTTAGCAGAATTTGGTTCCTCATGGTATCTCCATTTCCTTACTGGCTGTCAGCTAAGGGCTGTTCCCAGCTTTTTGAAACCACTCATACCTTGGCACATGAACCCCTTCCTCCATCTTAAAAGCCAGCACTATGAAGGATTCATCTGATTCCAGTGAGCCCACCTTGGTAGACCAGGATATTTTCCTCCTCTAAAAATCCTCAACCTTAATCACATCTGCAAAATCCCCTTTGTCAAGTAAAGTAACTTGTTTGAAGTTTCTAGGATTAGGATGTGAACATTTTTTTTGGTACCATTATTTGGCCTACCACACAGTGCCTTCTCTCCTCTGCCACCCCCTAGAAGTGTAGCTAGTGGCAGAATAGAGAGCCACATATGCTCCTGTTAGGGTATCTGTGGGTATCAGTAACAGCAGTCACAGCAGCAAATCTGGAAACTGGGTCCACTGAGTGACATGATAGATTTCAGTTCTAAGGCATTAATGTATCCAGAATCCAATGAACCTTTTAAGGTAAGAATTGTACACTTCTAACTAGATGTTTTCTTAACATTTACTAGCTATATGCTAGCCAATATAGAAAACATGAAATTCAGACTACAGGCCCCTGACCACGGATTCACAAATCGAATTTGTCAGAGAAGCATCATGAGAACAGTGTGAGGCATGCCCTGAGGGGGCAGGGCAGAGTTAGGGAGGGGTGAGCCATTGCCACAGATAAATAGAATGGTAGAGTTGTCCAAAGGATCTGAGATATCATTTAGTCATGTCCTAGACCTTTCAGGAAATTTCTTGGGAATGGACCCTACTCTTATATCTAATACCCTAATTTATCTTCAACAACTAAAATATTGTTTACTGCCTAGTGGATGTTCAGTGAATACTTCTTGACTCACGATGTGGAAACTCAGGTCAGAAGGGTGAATTGGAATGATTAAGGTCACACAGCTTGTTTATGGTAGAGCTAAATCTAGAAACTAGTTTTGATTTTTCATTCATTGTTCTATCAAATTTAGAAGGCAGCTCCTGGAAAATGGACTACTTCAACAAATGAAGCCTCCCGTGTGCTTTCTTTCTACCTTGCACATAGCATCTCTTCCCCCTTTATAAAATGTTTTTAACCAAATCTATAAATTTAATCTCTGCATCATGAGTCAAGAAGTCTGAGTTCTGTTCTCAGTTCGTCTGTTGACTTTCTTTATGGCTGAAGCAAATTACTTTACCTGTCCAAACTCAGTTCATCTATCATGAGGAATGCTAAGGTTCCTTTCAGCTGTTATGTCCTATAACTCTACATTTCATGAAAGCTAATGAAATAACAAGCTTACCCGTGAACCGAGCACACACTTTAATATCTTTATATCAGTGTTCTTTCTTAAAGTGTCGTCAGAACAGCACCTCTATCAGAATCACCTGTGGTGATTCTGCAATTGTTAAAAAGAATGAATTTGATTAATAATTGTTGATTTGGAAATATTTCCATTAGACCATACTTCCCAACCCTTTTTACCTCTATAGTCATAATACCAATTAAAAAAATAATTATATTTATGTGGTTTACTGGGGTAAAAAACCTTAGACTGTCTTTTTGCCAATGTACATCTCACAGAAAACTCTGCCTTAAATATCATTAAATGAAAAAAATAAGTTGCAGAAAAATATATAGGGTGTTCCAAAAAAATGTATACATACTTTAATAGCTGATAGTTCAATTTTGAAAATGAAATGTATTTTTAATAACTATTGCCTTTATAATTATTCAAAATGTGTATATACATTTTTTGAAATACCCATATATGTTACCATTTTTTTTCAAGACAATGCCAAAACTCTGTATATGTTTGCATGATTATGTATTATATATTGTATATGATTATGTGAGTGTTATGTTATATAAATTATATATACAATATTATAAGAATATTAAAAGGAACATACCAGGTTGTTAATGTAAGGAAGATACAACCGAAGAAAAAGGATAAAAACCTTTAAAAAAAAAAAAAAGTGAAAACACCGTATGTATGAACCTATTTATGCATTTATGTAAAACAATGCATTTGTATATAAAGACATTTAAAAAATATTCAGATTCAGGGCCTCTATTTTAGATCCCGTAAAGCAGAAACTTAGGGATAGGAGACGTGGAGAGGTGGGAATGTGCACATTAAAAAGTATTTCAAGTGATTCTGGAACAATGAAGTCTAAATTTTTGCATTAGGTGCTAATGTCACCAGCGGTAAACATAGCATATTTGGAAATTTCCACCCTGCAATTTCCACCAAGCAGGCTCAGCTTATCCTCATTGTCTTGGAACATATTAGATGCATAATAAATAGCTGCTGATTATTTGGGTCATTTGGAGGACAGATGGAGGGAGAGAGGGCCCAAGTGGTGAGAGAAGCAGATCAGCTGGGCTAGCTCAAGCCTAGGAGAGATGAGGAAAAGTACCTAGGAACAATGAGCTGGGCCCCTTGGCCATTTGCAGACATTCACCAATGCTACTTGTTAGGCACTACATTCATGAGGGAATTTTCCTGTGTCTTATTTCATTTACTTCTTCGATAATCCTTTACAGACCCAGAGGTGAAGTGAGTAGCCCATGTAATATCATAATTAGGATTTTAACATATAATTGGGGTTTTGAGCACTGAAGAACTAACCAGATACAAAGCTGCTGCTAATAAGATGGTGAGCACAACAGACTGCTCTTTTTCATATCTAGAATCTTGCAGCTCTGCCAGGATCATCCCTGTCTGTTGTTAATTATTAGTCGACACTCCTAAGTCGGCTGCCCAGAAGCAGCTTGTCATGTAGTCTAACCTGGATCCCTCCAAAGACAGATCACAGCAAAATGCGATTTTTGTTTTCACAGCAGGGAGAAAGTGTTCCCCGGCTGACTCTGCACAGTACAAGCCTTCCAAAGGCCAAGGCGACTTCCAAATCTTCCGCACCTACCAAGTGAAGATAATTCTGGCTCTTTGTAGCTGCATCTGCTAAGTGCTTTCCTGTTAGTGCAGAAGGAAGATGAAAGTAGAGGAAAAGAGATACCCTTAGTTGAGGGGCAAGCCTTAACAAATCGTTCAAATAAATTCCTTACGCAAGCCCATTTTCCAGTAATCTCATCTCCCGGTGTTGGGGAGGGTATAGGGAAGAATCAGAGATGTATATTTTGTGCCCAAATACTTGAAAGTCAACAAAACGGCATCTTCTTGTTGTCCACTCATATTAACTTGATCTCCCGACTTGTGTCACCCACCCCTTCCTCCCTCCCCCCCATTTCCGAAGGAGCCATTTTGCAGATTCCAGAGGATGGGAGCTGGGGCTGGACCCACACCTCTGCGGAGCCAATCCGGATCAGTAGCTCCGCGGCTGATCTCCGATTTGGCAGCCACCTAGAGGGGCCGGAAGACGGGAGGCTGGGCGAGCCACACTTCATCAGCTGGGCCTTCAGGACCGCGGGTTTGGAGGCTGCTGCAGCGCTCCTCCTGCCCCGCGCCTCTCCGCCAGCAGCTGTACCTACGTGTGGTTCCATAGCCGCGCGCTCCCAGGTGTGCAGCCCCCCGTCTCAGGCTCCCTTCCCAGCCTGGGGCCGAGGTGTCAGCGGACACACCCCCCCCCCCCCCCAAAATACCACCTCTTCCCCAAATCACACGTGACCGGTTTTAAATCAATGCCAAACACAATCAAGTCCACCCAGACCAGTTGCTGCTCAAGATCAGATACGGCCGGGTGTGAGCACCTGCAGGGGTGGCGGCGGGCTGGATGCCCCAGCTGGGGGCATGCGGGAGGCAGCCAATCAGTGATCCTCTTTCATCGTGGCTGCTTCTATCTCTCCCTTCCTCTCTGAAATCAATCCACATATTTTAAAATGAAAATAAATAAAATACCCATGTTATAAAAAGAAAAAAAAAGAAAAAGAAAAAGACAAGATGCATAATCTCAGTGGGGCCCCAGGAAGGCGGGACGGATTTAGCAGCTCCCGAGTCCGGGTTCCAGGATCCCTCCGCCCCCATACCGTTGCAGCCAAAGCCCGGAGCGCGGGATTCCCGGAGGGACGGACGGGACGGCGCCGGGAGCGGCGGCGCGGCCGGCGCACGGGGCATGCTCAGTGCGCGGCCGGCTGGGTGGCCCAGCGGCTGGACCCGGATCTGCGCGGCGGCGGCGACGTGAGCGCGCAGGGGGGCGGCGTCCTCGCCTCGTCTCTTTCTCTGCGCCTGGGTCGGTGGGTGACGCGGAGCGCGAGGGGGAGAGATGTCGGATTTCGACAGTAACCCGTTCGCCGACCCGGACCTCAATAACCCCTTCAAGGTGAGCGTCGTCCGCGGCCTCTCCCGCCGCCGCGGCTGCGGCGGGGAGTCATTGTTTGTGAAAACAGACAAGTTCCTTCGCGCCCACCGCGCCCGCCCCTCTCTGCTCCTCTCGGCCGCCTCGACTGGTGTGGGGGGTCCTTTTGGGGTTCGCGCCCGGGCCCCCGCGTCCCTGGTGTGTGTGTGTAGGGGGACCTGGGGGGGGGGGGTCGGAGCGGAACCTCTTCAGCTCGGCGTCCGGACCGCCTTCCCCAGGCCCCCGGCGGAGGGGCGTCCTGCCCTCCCCCCGGGAGCGGGCCGAGGGCGCCGGCCCTCCTCCTGGCAGCGGGCGGGGGGGGGGGGGGGGAGCGGCAGGTGGAGCTGTCACCTGCCTGGCAAGCTGGGCGGGCCCGGTCCGGCCCGGGGGCCGGCGGAGGGGGGGAGGAGGGAGGCTTGCCCTCCGGTGGGGTTGTCATGGGGACCCGGGATGGCGGCGCAGAGCTCTGCCTGGAGTGATGATGGCTGAGGTGTGGAGAAGAGGTGAGGGCACCTAGTAGTAGGCTGCAATTAAAAAAAAAAAAAAAAAGGTGGTATATTTATTTGTATTTTTCTATTTCTTAAACTTGTGCTGCGCTCACATATACTTGTGTCGCGCTGCTGCCACCCCTCTCCTCTCTCCATGTAGGCCGAGGTGGAGGGTCTGGTGTCAGAGTTGAAAGTGAACACACCTGTAAAAGAATAAATAGTGCACGTGGACGATCACCTGCCCACCCAGCCGCTCTCAGGAAGGGAACACCACGGGATATTTTCCAAGCTCCTTGTGCGTCACCGGAGCTCTGGGCTGGATCAGGATACCATTTCCCACTTGAGCTTCTTTTCCTTCTTGGAGGCTGACTGCCTTTATTTACCAACCACACAGCCTTGGAAGGGTTTGGCTCGGAAAAGGGGGAGAGGAAGGAGACAGAAGGAGTTCATTATCTGCGCTTACATGAGTGCAGTATCCAAACAAGTAGCTCTTGAAAAGCACACCGGTGCTTAGGACTTGAAAGTGGTTTCCAAATGTTGGTTGAAGTTGTTTCTTCATTTCCCCTGGCTACAAGCAGTAGTAACCTTAATTCGTAGTCTCACAAAATAGTAACTTTAATGTGTGGTCACGCAAGTTGCCACTTTTGGTTTGTTGAGTTTACATTTCTTCTTTTTTTTTGCTCCTGGTTTTATCTCCTATTAAGAATCTGGAAGAGGAAAAAAAAATACCCCAATTTTGATTTTTAGCCTGATAATTTGATGGATGATTACGTTAACTAGATGATCCTGGGAATAAATGACAATTGGACGCACTCTGTATAAACGTAGAATAGATCCAGTCACTATCCTTTGCCTCTGATTTCACTTGAGAAAATTCCATACAACTAGCATGGGACTTTCAGGTTTTTACAAATGGTGCATTTTAAGGAGACTGTTCTCACGAAGTGTTCTATCATTCTGTGTCGTGGAAAATCTGATTATTTTGCCATATAAATTCTTTTAAAAATATATTTTATTGATTTTGTACAGAGAGGAAGGGAGAGAGATAGAGAGTTAGAAACATCGATGAGAGAGAGTCATCAATCAGCTGCCTCTTGCACATCCCCTACTGGGGATATGCCCGCAATCAAGGGACATGCCCTTGACCGGAATCGAACCCGGGACCCTTCAGTCCCCAAGCCGACATACTATCCACTGAGCCAAACCGGTCTCGGCCATATAAATTCTTTTTAAAAAAATATATATTTTATTGATTTTTCACAGAGAGCAAGAGAGAGGGATAGAGAGTTAGAAACATCGATGAGAGAGAATCATCGATCAGCTGCCTCTTGCACACCCCCTACTGGGGATGTGCCCACAACCAAGGTACATGCCCTTGACCGGAATCGAACCCGGGACCTTTCAGTCTGCAGGCCGACGCTCTATCCATTGAGCCAAACCGGTCTTGGCCCATATAAATTCTAAAGAGATTTCTTTCATAACTTGCCAAATGGGTGTTATTTTAAAGTATACTAATCTGTTAGATTTTCCTAATTCACTTAATTCATTAATGCTGTTTTTCAGCGTCTGACAGCGTGGCTATCAGTATTCTATTTGGTTATTCCATTTCATAGCTTATTTTATATATTTGGTTCTCTTATTTTTAAAATATTTTTCTTTTATTGAATTTATTGGGATGACAGAGGTTAACAAAATTATACAGGTTTCAGGTGCACAATTCTAAAACACATCATCTGTACACTGTATTGTGTGTTCACCACTCCAAGGCAAGTCTTCTTCCATCACCATTTATCCCCTCTACTAGAGGCCTGGTACACGAAATTCATGCTTGGGCGGGTGTGGGGAGGGGGTTGTCCCTCAGCCCAGCTGCACCCTCTCCAATCTGGGACTTCTCGAGGGATGTCCGACTGCCCGTTTAAACATCATCCTGCTGGGATCAGGCCTAAACCAGCAGTCAGACATCTCTCTCACAATCCAGGACTGCTGGCTCCCAACTGCTCACCTGCCTGCCTTCCTGATTGCCCCTAACCACTCCCATGCCAGCCTGATTGATGTCTAATTGCTCCCCTGCCAGCCCGTTTGCCCCAACTGCCCTCCCCTGCAGGGTTGATCGCTTTCAACTGCCTTCCCTTGCAGGTCTGGTACCTCCCAACTGCCCTCCCCTTCCGGCCATCTTGTGTCCACATAGGGGCAGGATCTTTGGCCACATGGGGCAGCCATATTGTGTATTGGAGTGATGGTCAATCTGCATATTACTCTTTTATTAGATAGGATAGAGGCTTGGTGCATGGGTGAGCGCCAGCTGGTCCCAGATTCCGGGTTGGGGTTCCCTTGGGGCGTGGGGCGGTCTGGCCAACGGGCCTGTGGTGGTTTGCAGGCTGGCCACGCCCCCTGGCGACTCAAGCAGAGGCCCTGGTATCTGGCATATATTTACTTTCTACAATTGAAACTTTGTAGCCTGGAGCAGAGCCAAGCCTCCTACTTGTTCAGTGGCGGCAGCCATTTCTGTTTGGATTTGTTTACCTTCTATAATTGAAACTTTGTAGCCTTGAGTGGAGGCCTAGGCCAACAAGGGCAGGCGGAAAGCTTGGCTTCTTCTGATGCGGGGGAAATGGCTCCCTCCTGCTCTCTGTGGCTATAGCCATCTTGATTAGGTTTATTTGCATACTCTCTCTGATTGGCTGGTGGGTGTGGCTTGTGGAGCTGAGTGATGGTTAATTTGCTTATTACTCTTTTACTAGGTAGGATATCTTACTCCACTTACCCCTACCTCATATAGCTGGTGTTCTTGCTATTGCAGGACATTGTCTTCTTCTTAGCCCAACATGCTCTTTTGTGACATCTAGTGTTGCCATGACACTTTCTCTTCTGCCACACATAAGATTTTTGTACTAAATCTAACCCCCAAAATAGTTTTAAATACTCATTGATTGTGGCACAGAATCATTAACTTTTTGTTCTTTTAAGTGGATGCACCCAGAGGATAATTTTTATTCAGGCTCATAAAATATTTCAAGGGATGGATAATTTAGCCCTAAAGAAGACCTGATTGCACGCATGTTCCTGTTTATGGTCTTTCCTCGTTTTTATTGACAGCCACAGCACAGAGTATCTGACCCTTTATCTTTACATTTGTTTCCAGTTGCTCTTCCTCTTTCAAAGTCAAACTTGACATCAATAGCGTATTTCCTTCTTCCTTCATTTTTGCCTTCTATGTAAATGTGGTTTTTGAAATAGCATTTCTGGTCCTCTCTACCTAAATATAAAAAGTTTCTAGATCCATCTTTGTATTACTTTATAATCTTCCTTTTCAAATATGTTAATATTTTCAATATTATAAAAAGAAGTTCATATTTTCAAAATATATGATGTATTTCATATTTGGCAACTACCTAATTTCTTTTTGATTAAAAGCTACTTGATTTACATTGCCTTTTCAGAGCTTTTAAGTATTTCCTTTGCTTCACTTTTATGTTAGGAACACTTTTTGTCACATCTTTATTTGAGCCATGTCATGAAAATAATTTCTGAGGATAATGTTTTTAGATAATGTGACTACAGTGGTTTACTTGATTTTATTAGCTGTTGTAAAGTTCTTTGCTGAATTCAGTTCATTTTTTTTTTTTTGATTGACTGCTTTATTTTAGCAGTTGTGATAGGTTCAGTTAATGAGTTTATGGCCTTTGATTAATTTTCATTGTGCATCAAGAAACTTGGAATAACTGGAAATGTGTAGTAATCTGAAAATAAAAAAAAAGATTATTATATGGTTGCTTTTGATAATCCAATCTTGAGTAAAATATGGTTTTAAAGCTAGAGAGGAAAAATGTTTACTGTATAGTCAATGAATTTATTGAATAATTACTGAATGTTCTTTATTCTTTTCAGTTATCCATTCTTTCAATAACTATTAAAGAAACATTTCTGTTTTTAAGGATATTAGTCTAACATGGCAGCAAACATGCTTGGAAGGTGAAATGAGAGAGTTTAATAACCAGAGGAGAGATCAGTAATATAGAATTTTATAAGTCAGTGCAAGAGTGTATGAGTACAAATCAGATTGAGTGTAACTTGTTCAAAGGAGGGAACTGTAAGTGGTCAGAAAATTTTCATGTCTTCTAATATGATTTAGTGTATGGTATTAATGGGCTAATTGGTTATGTTAGAACAGTGGTCAGCAAACTCATTAGTCAACAGAGTCAAATATCAACAGTACAATGATTGAAATTTCTTTTGAGAGCCAAATTTTTAAAACTTAAACTTCTTCTAATGCCACTTCTTTAAAATAGACTTGCCCAGGCCGTGGTATTTCATGGAAGAGCCACACTCAAGGGACCAAAGAACTGTAAAATTCATTTTAGAAATAACAATTAATGTAATTTCTTAAAATAGAATAAAAATCTCAAAGTTGGGAAAGGAAAAATCTTAAAATGTATTTAGAGCTTATTCTATGAATGCAAAAAAGCCCAGATACATGCTATTTTACATTTGACAATG